GAACCAGAACATCTCCTCACCAGCAATCATCACCCAGATAAGCAGAGGTTACCACCAAGATCATCACCAGATGTGCAATCAAGCGATAAACAATACCCTAATCAAGGAACTACCAGGAGGGGGGGAAAAAACCCACCAGCCCCACCAACACTGGCAGGGCAGGCCACAGTATATAAACAGAGAGCAAACCCCCTTCCATTCTAGCACTGAAGATGTTACCTAGATGGGTAACGAAACGTCTGCAAGAAGACAACCAAGCTCAGAGCGCCCCGAGGACCCCACATTTAACATATTAGTACTGTACAGAAAGCAGGACTTGGCAGGCTAAACAAAGATGAATAAAAAGGCAAAGCAAATTGTTTAGTCATTTTTGTATTCATAAATGGAGCGCTACCTGGGATAGTTTCAGAAAAACATGATCATATAAGGCAGGACTCATTTATGAGTGCTACAAAGCAACATGCCCTGTTCAAGACACCTTCTGCTCCCTAGTTCCTTTTCGGCCTCTACTGCTTTTTGAGTGAGGCTCCTGAGGCAAATTATCCTAAAGAAGTTCATGGAAGGAAAGCGTCCCTATTCCTCTCTCTCCTCTGAATTCACCTGAACCCCTTGAAAATATGAGGAAGCGAGATTCCTCCTGAACAATCTAGGAGGCTACTCCCGGGAAAACAGATCACTTGCATCCTAAAATACATTGATTTAAAGAAATTTAGAGAAAGTAGTGCATCCCATCCCCAGTATCGGCCCCATACCAGATCCCACATTTTTGGAAGGGGACTCATTCTACAAGGGGGCACAAAGGTAGCTGAAGGAATGGGAACTTTCCTTCCACTGTCTTATCTTGGACTCCAAAATATTAACAGCTTATGTGTATTCAGGTATACTCAACAAAAAAAGTAAATATGGCCTCTTAATATCTAATAACAATACTTGGAATACATTTTTTCAATTAAAATTTTGCCTAGTTCATCATTAAGACAGACATATAGAATTTGCAACAAGCTGTTGCAACATATTTGCCTCTCCTTTCCTGATCAAAAAGAATGCCAAAGTTTAGAGTTCCGGTCACTCAGCTCTTTCTGCAGCATACCATAAGCTGTTAGGGTCGTGAGAAATGTGCCCACCTGGGTTTTGGGTATGGCATCAGCTGCAATCCCAGAGCAGGGGTGAGGAAATGGCCTTGGACATCCCAGAAACTATTGTAGCTTTCAGGGATGCTGCTTTGCAGATAACCAGAAGTCACATCCTGTTCATGAGGCTGGGCCTTGGGGATCAGATGGAATTGTTACTACTGTACCAACCTGCTAGGCAGCTGCTTTCCTAGCTGAGCTACCGGATGTTGTAGCCCGGCTGGCAGTAGAATTTCCCAGGGATATGGTCTTGGGGGACTTCAACCTGCCTTTCTTAGGTGTGAAATTGGAAGCAACATGGGAGTTCATGGCCACCATGGGCCTGACCAAGTAATTGTGGGCCGATATGCATGAAGTGTCATTTTTGCCTCAGGCCTGTGATAATGGAGCTGGTTTGCAATTTGGAGGTCCTCCTGGACATACGGCTCCAACATGAGAAGCTGGTGACAGCCATGGTCAGGAGACCTTTGCACAATTTTGTATTGTCTGTCAATTACATCTATTTCTGGACTGGGAGGCCCTGCTCACAATCATTCAGGTCACATCCTGGTTGGATTTCTATAATGTGCAACAGGCTGCCCAGAAGACCATCTAAAAATTGCAGGTGGTCCAGAATACAGTGGCACTAGTAGCAACGTGCCCTTTGGAACAAGCTCCCCCACCGCCACCAAGGTCTGGGTAGCCCCATCTTCATTAGTCTTTTGCAGAACCACGAAGACCTGGCTTTTCTCCCATGAACTGGCTCAGGATGGCAGATGAGCCTATTTTGTGATGTATGATCTTTTTATAAATCGTGTGTTGATTCTGTTTCTGATTTTGTGGTTTGTTTTTGTACTGTGCTTATTCTATTTCCATCTGTCTTTTTGTATGCCACCCAGAGCCACAGATTGTGGGAGAAGCAGCCTTAAAAATCCTTGAAATAAATAAATAAATAAATTTAACCATTTTCTGCTTTCCTTTCCCAACTGACACTCATTTGAGACCTTCTAAACAAGTTCAGTCTTCATTGACCTGCTGCTTTTTTAAAAAGAAAGCTGTGGTTTTGTTTTTGTTCTAAAATTGCCTGGAGCATGCTAATATAGTTTTCCAGAGGTGCCATTAGTTCAATTTCTGTCAAGATGGAGGCACCAAATGATTAATTCAAATAAATAGATATCAATTTCTTTATATCGGATTACTTATTCATTGGGAACTCTACACATTCAAAAACTCAGAATATATAAAAGCGTAATTATTCTTAGTTGCAAATCATCCATTTTTTTCTTCTCATTCCCAGATGATTATCTATATTTAATGTGATCTTTCTATTCTGTCACAAGGCTTTTAAAATTCAGTTCTATCACATTTTATTGCAAGAAAAAAGTGACTAAGCTCTTGCCATTACAAATGAAAAAGAGCGGATCTCCAATTAATTTTATACTGGGTTTGCAGAAAAAGTTTCACTAAAGTAGCTATAGCTGAACAAATATTTAATTTAATTAACTTAAATCAGCAGTGCTTTTATGCATTGACCAACCAGCAGATTCCATACCTGACATATAGCTTCTTTGAAACCTGAAAAAAATACCTAGCTTAAGGCTAACAAATTAAACTTTTCTGAAGATTACTGCTATGGAGACTCATCATCACAGCCTGAAGCTTCTTTTTCCCCTGGCTACTATGGAGTATTTCTTATAGTTGACCTGAGATCACAGGGAGGCAACATAATGCTCATGGGAGCCAAAATGCCCATCAATATTTTTCCTACCAGCCACAAAACTAATTTTATTTAAGGATATTTTATCTTTAAAAAATCAAGCAAAGCGCTAGTCTGTAGAATTATTTTTATTTACAAGAACGCCTCTGCTCCATAAAACCCCAGAGACATTCTTAGAAATACAGGATGGCTATTAGTGGCATGCAAAACACTTTCAAAATGAATTCAAATTGAAATGCCCACTTTTGAACTTAAGAACAGTTGTTTTACATTTGGAACAGGCTATTTCAGTCATTTTGGGAATGTTTTAAGATCAAAATAGAAATATTTCCAAAATGATCTCAAGACTGCCTGTTTTAAATGCAGGACAGCTTTTTCAAAACAACACATTTCAAATTTGAAATTTTTTGTGCACCCTAATAGCTCCAGTTCAGTTTTGTTTGGAAGTGTATCTACCTACAAGCCAGACAATGATAAATTAATATAAAATGCTAGTGATTATGGAGTGCTAAAGTTAATGGCAGACAGCAACCTCACCAACTTACTCTCTAGTAACTGGGTGTTTTGAGTCTTGCTATGCCCACCATAGTAGCCATTTTGTGAACAGTCATGGATCCTAGCTAAGAAGAGCACCTATAACATGCTCTAAAATTTCCAGATGTGCCCACTTGCTAAAAAACAGAGTCTCCTCAATTCCCCCAAAATACCATCTAGGCATGAAGAAACTTCAGTGCCTCATTCTACCACATACCAATTCAGCATTGGTTGTACAAACACCAAGGGTAAATAAGCTGATACCTCCAGAAGTTTTGATCTACAACTCTCTAAGTAACAGCTTATAGAAATTACAGATTAAAACTTCTAAAGGACACCAGGTTCTCAATCTTGAGGTAGAAGTCAGCAACATATCCCTAGCCAAAGAAATGGGTCAGATCCACCAGCAGGTTGTTCTGCAAGCAGCCTCATGAACGTGACTTGCAGAGGTACACAGTGGATGTTGTCATGAAGAACGGTCCATGAATTTTGGCCACATGACCAGCAAGGCCTTCTTCAAGCCATTCCCAGAGAGGAACTGCTGCAAACTGTTCACCAGGGATATGTAAAAAATCAGTGCTCATGTAACAACTACAAAGCTGTGTGCTTGTCATCTTTCCACAAGCTAAAATGTGTCTATTGACATCAGGGACCTAAACTGAACCATAATCAATGGCATTATCCTCAAACAGAGGTGATACTGCTATTAATATATAGATGAAATTACCGGATATGTGCTGGAGTGGTCCCACAGCAGCCACCAACTATGTTGACTAAACCATCTAAGGCAAAATCCTGCCGATGAGAAAAAGCAGTTTTCAGACATAAATGGGTTGAGAGCAGAGTCACATTTGAAACATGTACAAGCTTTGTTAGAATTGTTCTTACTTACACACATCGCCTCCTTGCTAGTTACCAACACTGCAAAGGGAAGTCAATTAGTATAGTACCATTTCCTTCAAAGCCCCATTGAAGGCTTAAACTCCATCTCAGATGAAGGTAACTTGCATATAAGCCTATTCCCTATTTTAAATTTCCTACATCTCTGCCTCCAGAACATACTCAGAAACAGCCCACAAGATGCTTTTGTTGTCGTTGTTGTTGCTGTCGTGTCCGACTCTTCGTGACCCCATGAACCATATCACGCCAGGCCTTCCTGTCCTTCACTGCCTCCCTGAGTTTGCTGTTTCATGTTCATTGCTTCTGTGATGCTATCTAATGATCTCATCCTCTGCTGTCCTCTTCTCCTTTTGCCTTCCATCTTTCCCAGCATCAGGATCTTTTCCAAAGAGTCCTCTCTTCGCATTAGGTGGCCAAAGTATCTGTGATGGAAGGCATGAGCAAGGAGGATCCTGGAATGGAGCTTCAAGGTTACAGGGAGGGGGAGAGACATTCCAAGCATTTCCTCACCCCCAGCCAGAGCATGTGAAAGTGAAGAGAAGGCAACTGGCCCCTCCCTAAGGTATTCAGGGTTATAGTTGCTGTCGTTGGGGGTTCGAGTTAGTCTGGCAAGATTCTGTCTAGTAGGTGTAAGCTAATAAAGTAACTGAGCTGTTCCTGGACTGGCTGGTGTGGGTCTTCCGGGCTGTGTGGCCGTGGTCTTGAAGTCTTGTTTCCTAACGT